AACGACACTTCTAGAAAATCATGTTTGTGGTATTTGTATAGGGAAAGTTTTATCTGTTCCCCTCACAACATGAAAGTTCTATCCTCCGCCTTATCCAACCGTCCATTTTTTAATGGAGGTCTAAGATTGCCCCAATCACAATGTCACGTCTCTACATTGTTTTATTTTTTATTTTTTTCTATAAACTGTTTTGACTCCAAATTTTGGACATCCATTCCTCTATTAAACTCGCACTAACGAAATATATAAAAATAATAATTTCAATAAAATGACCAAAATACCCCTGAAAGATTCAAGGGGTATTTTGGTCATTATTTTTTATTGAAAAATTATTGTTAATATTTTTTATAGGTGCACCCCAATAAGAAGATGGAACGTACGAAATTTAATATTCAGAAAAATTGTATTAAAAAATTAAAAATAAAATACTTTAAGACATTGGATCTAAGATCAAACGGTGAGTAGCTCTCTTGATAAAAAAATGGACGGCTAGATGGTAGGGGAATGATATAACTTCTATATTGTAGGGGAACATAGAAAGCTTTCCCATTTGTATGACCCCAAATTTTGCACACACTACCCCCCTCCCCCCCCTCCCCCCAAAAAAAAGAAAAAAGGAAAAAGTTTATATAGACCTAGGCTCTAAATAATCAAATTAGAGCCTACCTCAAAATTTTCACCAGAAGAGGTTGTTTTGATGCCGACGTATCATCAAATTGATCATCTCGGCATCAAGATGCATGGACATAAGAAAAAAAAGGATTTCAAGTTTTAAAAATAGTGCATCTTGTAACGCATTTTTGGACCATCGGTTTTTAATATTTTCAAGTAGATCTGCTCGATCTACACTATGTTTTAAGCTTTAAATTTTTTAATTAAAGATGAAAATATAATTTAAAGCTATCACAAAACTTTTTACTATTGAAACAATATTACTCAACATTATTTGAAAGTGAGCTCTAATTTGATTGTTTAGAGCCTCGGCTCAAACCACACAAAAAAAAAAAAAGTTCAATTTGAGCCTTAGATATGGTCAAAATACGTCCCCTCCAAAAACGAATCTAGGCCATTCATTTTGTGAATTTCAATATCTTAGCCTTTATAAACTCAAAATCTTTTTTTTTTTTAACATTGTTCATCTAATGATAATAAAACCGTCCAAAAAAATTGAAAATGAAAAACTCCTTCTAGGGCTTAGATCTAAGCATCTCACCAAAATGAACGGCCTATGTTAATTGGGCTAAAAAAATACTTCTAGGTGGTGTTTTCAATTTTTTTTTCTCTTTTTGGGATTGTTCATTAGAATGAAATTAGTGTATATTTCAAATTTTAGATCAAAAAAATGGCCATAAGATGATTTTTTAAGGTTATTATATCATATTACTATACAATGGTTGCATGAAATCATTGCCCTTTCTAATTTATTGTCAATTTATCTCGTTATTTCCATTTTCTTCATGTTGATTGCAAGGGAACTTTTTATTGCCAGTTATATCCAAAAATCATCACAAAAAATAAACCGTTGCTTTTCTTTTCATAACAAATAAAACATCAAATTTACCAAAGATATTGAATCAACATAGTACTTTTTATTGCCAAAAGTTGTACCAAAAAATGATCATAAAAAAAATATATCTTGATTTCTTTGTTATAGAAAAGAAAAAAAAAACTATATTTGTTAAAAACATTGCTTTTTTATAGTTTTCTCTCTCATACACAGATTTGACTAGCAAATAATAGAACAACATGGATATATTGCCCCAAGAAAAAAAAAAAAAAAAAACTTCAATATCGGATTGTAGTTAGTAGAAATCCAAAAACCCAAAAAATGTAAAATAGCGGTCCATCCAAATTGGTGTTGTTTACTTTAATAAACTAACCAAAAAAAAGAAAAACCAAAAATTGTGAAATTAATTAAATTATGTGTATAGATAATGTGTATAGAGAGAGTAGGAATTGACATACTTGTACAGTTGTACCAAACAATATGCGTTAGCAAACTCAAATATTCGAACCTCAGCCCTAGTTTGGGGTTGCCGAATCACTCTCTATTCCTCTTTACAATGTCTTTTTTTTTTATTATTATAATTTTTTATTAAACCAGTATTCTTAATTTAAAATCAAAACCTTTCCTCTTGGGGTCGTTTGGTAACCAAAAATTTGGTTTCCAAAAACAGTTTTTCTTAAAACTGTAGCATTTTTTTGTTTAGCAACTGGAAATGCTACAGTAAAATGAAGTTCACATTTCTCAAACATGAAAAAAATGTGAACTTCCAATGCCCTATGGAAGAGTGAATTACTAAAAAAATGAGAAATGTGGATTTCTTTTTTTTGGAATGTTTTTCTATCATTTTGAAAATGTTTACGAAACTTCAAATATTTTTTATTTTTTATTAAATTAGATTGAGCTGAAATTTAGAGATTATGTATGCCCAACTGGATAGGTTTTTATAAGAAAAAAAGAATATCAAAAAATAATTTCTATATAATAAAATAAGCAAACTATTCCCCAAAGTTTCAAGGGCAAAACAATCATTTTGTTTTTTTACAAAATATTTTTTAGTATTTTATAGGTGAGAGTCGTATGGATTTACTTGAAGTTTCAAATCCATTCTATGTATACAAAAAAATAATAATAACTGAAATACTCTAGACCGTTTAATGAAGATCTGATGGTTGAGATCGATATGCTTTAAATAATCTATAATGTGAATTTTGAGGGGTATTTCAGTTATTTTATATTTTTTTAAAAAATATTTTATATATTTTTACAAATGGATGGTAGGACATGAAAGAAAGACGAATGTGATCTTGTTGGATTTTTTTTTTTTTTTCCTTTATCTTTTTGGCAAATATCACTTACAAGTGGGCTTGTTACAATAACTCTTGCTTCAAAAATTTAAAACCGACAAATCTAAGATCTTAAAACTTTGATGTCATTAAAACAATTTTTTTTAAACAAAGAAAATTAACCATTACTTGTTATGTTTGGGAATATAAAGTTAATATAATTAAATATACAATAAATAAAAGATAATGTCAGAGATTATCTTAACCGAGCTCATTACACCCCATACCGAGTCACCACCATCCGATGAAGCGAGATCAACGATCAACCTTCAATCTCAACCAGCAAGCAAGTTTAGGCTAAGCCCTCCAATAGAACTATGAACTCCTCTTGATTACAAATCCTTAAACCTAGGTTCAAATCCTCAATACCTAGTTCAAGAAATCATATTCTTAACACTACCCAACCCATAGGTTTAAAGTAAGATGAGAGAGATATAATCCTGTTTAGGTGGGGCGTGCCCCTTAAGTTATCCTAGAGAAAGAGAGAGAGAGAGAGCGAGAGAGAGAGAGAGAGTTTTCAAAGAGGTAGGGTCGCAAAACTAGAGAGAGAGAGTTTTCAAAGAGGTAGGGTTGCAAAACTAGAGAGAGAGAGAGTTTCCTAGGGTTGGGCCATGCCTCTTAGGTCGGCGAGAGAGATATATATATATTTTAGAGAGAGTTAGAAGAGAGATTTTTGGTGTGGAGAATTAATGGAGAGAGGTCATCTATTTACAGAGTAAAAATAGGATTAGGGTTTTCCATGGTTTGTCTCTTTTGTGAGATTAAACATGAACCATTGATATTGGGTGACTCGTGGGATGAGAGATTTGAGCCCTCCCTTCCATAAATGGGCCATCAATATTATAGAAAACGCTAAACCCTTATCTTTTTTCTAAACCATTTTTCCATCAATATAAATTAAATAAAATAATTTTAAATATTGTGCATGCCATAATAACGCACAAGCTTTCTCATGCTTTCCAAAAATCCATTCAATGCTTCCTTAAGCCAATTCCTTTCCAAAACACAAAATATTTTTGACTTCAAGTCAAAGTTGCCATTTCATAAAATAGAAAGCATCAAACAAGGAGGGCCGTGCCACCCATGAGGGGGTCTCATGGGCCCCACCATCTAGGCCCATGGTGAGACTATGTGCATAATGAGCTTCCATATAATTTTAAATATTTTAAAATTCAATAAAAAAAACTAGAATTTATTTGAATATTTAAATCATTGTAAAATCAATATCTCTGTATTTAAAACCCAAATTTGATAAATAAAATATCTAGAGTTTTATAATAATTCAAATAATAATTCTAAAATAATTTCTTCCATAAAATAAACATAATTAAATTAATTAGATTGGAAAATTATCTACATAGTCTAGGAATTAAATCAATAAACATGGGGCACTCTACCTTCAACCGTGTATTACGGATCACATTTGCTTTATCAAACTGACCCACCACAATCCATCCAGGGGCTCATTTACGGATCACCAAATTCTGACCAATGAGCCAAGGGGTTGCAATTTCAGTTTGTGGATTTCAGGTTCTCCTTAAAGACATATCAAGATCACCTAGACCTGATGCGACTGCCGCTCATATGGTGCACAGGGATATCTCTTGCGCATACATAAACTTCATCCTAAAAGGTGGTTCACTTTTTGAAATGACTATCATTATACATGTCGTGTGATGGTATGTAGATGAGGTTTTGGCCCCCGTATCTGAAGGTCACCATCACATATAAGAGTTACACAGTCTCTGGGCTCACTCATCTGGACATATTCCGACCTCATTAAGGGATGACTTATTAGAACCCTCATCGGATAATTTTCTACATCCAAATAACATAGGTTTTTCTCAATCGACTGTCCTAAACCGTCGAAAATAGTTCGGTATCAACAAATATCATTTACATAATATAGTCTACGAGGGACCACACTCTTGCTGAATTTATGTTCCATTATATCAAATGTTTGATTACGCCTTTAATGGCCACATTTACGGGATAAGTGTAAACGCCCAAGATTTTTATCTCAATTCAATGTATAAAAAATAAAATAAAATTGAAATACTCAAATATGCTCTCAACCTTCAATGTGGATATTTCGATCCTTCTATTTTTCTAAATTATTTTTCTATAATTCTTATAGGTGTGATTCATAACGGGAAGTGTTTGATAACAGGAAGTGTCTTCATGGAAGTGGGAACTTATTAATACTGTTCATGTTTCGTGCAGAACTTCACCCTCGAACCCTAGTTCTTCTTCTTCTCTTCGTTCCCATCTTCTTATCTTCAGCGGCTGAGCACCCCTCTTTTCGGAGCACGACCCCTCTCTTCTGTTCTTAGCGTTCAGCCGCTGAGCCACCCCTCTCTTCGCAGCACGCCACTATCTCAGGCAGACTCCTCTCTTCACACGCAGCCCTCGATAGGATTTACTCAGCTGTTCTTGACCTCTGGTCCTTGCTATTGATCTTGAGGTATGCTATTGACTCTTATTCTCTCTTTGTTATTGATCTCTGTGTTTGTTCTTGAGCTCTTGAAGCTAAGAGCTCTTATTCTCTATGTGTTATTGATCTTGAGGTATGCTATTGACTCAGATTTCTTCATCTTTCTCTCTCTATCTCTTCTTGAGCTCTGATCCTTCCTATTAAGCTCTGATCTGTGTTCTTCATCCTTCTCGAGGTATTTACCCCCGACTGCGCTAACCACAGCGAATAGTATTGATGTGTTTTATTTAATAAAATCAGAGTAAATAGCATACCTTCTATTTCTGATTTTACAGATTTTTCGCAACAGCCCAATAGATGAGAGCTCAGTTACAAAAAAAAATAGAGCTCAGTTACAAACTGATTATTCAAACAGTTTGTAATAAAATCTGGGTCCTTTTCTTTTGTGTTTATTTGGCGAGTTCGCAACAGCCCAATAGATCAGAGCTCAGTTACAAAAAAAAATAGTGCTCAGTTACAAACTGATTATTAAAACAGTTTGTAGTAAAATCTGAGTCCTTTTTTTTTTTTTTTCAGTGAGGGACGGAGGGAAATGCATTAGGGTTTTGGTGGGGAGGGCGGGAGGGAGCACAAGATCACCCTACACCATTTTTAAACCTGCTTTCATCGTCATCAGAAAAACCCTAGTTGTTGAATTGAAGATGGACAAGAGCATGCTTGGAGATCTGGACTCTATGGGAGAAGAGGACAAGCTCAGAATGACCACCATGATCGAACAGCTACAAATCCGTGACAGGTTCTTCCCTCTCTCTCTTTGTCGGCTCTCTTTTTTAGGAATTCTTTGATGAGAGAGAAAAGATGGAGATTACTTGTTTTTTTTGGCTCGGAGAGATTCTAATTCGTGCCATTCTCTCTCTCAGAGAGAGACTAAATCATGATGTTTGCTCTTTCTGGCGAGTAAATTATTTGTGCATTTATGTATCATTTGCTGCTTTCATAATTTACTGTGAGGGTTTTTATGGTATCCATTTTTTTATTAATGAGAAGGCAATGGGCTAAAACACGCAAAAAAAGTTGAATTGGCAGGAGGAAACAATAGCTTTTCCGTTTAAATTCTTTTCATGGCTCCCGGGATATAGACCGTCTACTGTATTTACCACATAAGTAACACTAAGTTCTTCTTCCTCTTCTGTTATTGTTGGTGTTGCTTTCGTTGATTAATTAAGTGATTATGTTAAAATGTGAGGTTTTATTGGAAGTATTGGAATGAGAGACCACTTGAACTATCAAATGGAAACCAAGAATTACCTTTCTACCTCTACATTTGCTTTTAGCAGCGATTATGAACGGTTCTCAAGAAAAATTAGCCTCTCCATGTACCACTTCTTGATGCTTCTCTGCCTATCAATGTCATGGAAATTAGTGGGGGCATCTTGTAATTCTGAGCTTAATTATACAATGGAGCCAGAATTTCTATTCTCGTGTATAGGTACTCCATTGTACTGTATTTCCCATTCCCCTAATTTCAAGTATCCTTTTACCTCACTCTAGTATTAAAGAGCTAATAGGGAATCTTAATGTAAAGCCTTTTGAACTAAAATGTCCCTTTGGCCTTGGGTGCCTTGCTGTAGAGGCTTCTGCTGCACCATCTATTCCTAATGAAAGTGAATATGCTCCTTTGTAATCTTCATGTGGCTCGGTCCTTAAGAGTGATAGGTCACTAACGGATGTGTGACAACTTATGTAGGCTTATGATTATGTGGTGCGGCGGCAACCTGTGTGTCATATATCTATTTTGCAAATTTTTAGGCGGCTAGTGAGCTAAAAATGTATTTCATTATCTTTTGGCAGTAATGTTGTAGTTCTCATAGGGAAAATGTTCCACCTATTCTAGTGAAGGAGTTTTGTAAAACAAAAAGACGAGAAAAGTCTTAGTATTTGAGATTAAAACTTGGTTACTAAAGCTTAATTATAAAGCATAGTTGGAGTTTGGTACTAGAAGTGTGTATGTTTGGCGTGAATCCATTATGCAAAGCTTCATCAAGGCATATAAATTTGGGTTTCCAACTTTGATATGACTACATATGTTTTGGGTGCATGGATTTCTATCAAAGGAAATCGTTGATATTTTGAGCAGTATTGTTGACAATTCAGGAAATGGCCTTCTTGGCGTCACAAATGATTTATTTAAAGCCTTTGAAATGTATTTTCAAAGCACATCTTATATAGATGTTAGAAAATTAAACTTAAGAAAGTAGAACCTTCTAGATGTGAGTAGAAGTTTAAGAAAACATGGAGAGTTTTCTAGATGAGACATGAAGAAATAAATAAAGACGCATGTAGAAGTTTCTAAAAGGGACACAAAGTCAACAAAAGTGACTACCCATTAAATGTCGGTAGGTGGTCACTAGAACATTCTAGTTGGTATGACAACCTCTATAAAAGGGGAATAGAGAGCCATGTGTTGGGGCAAGTAAGTGAGTATTGAGTGTAGAGAAAGAGAGAAAGAGATTGAGAAAGATTGTGTAGAGAGAAAAAGTGTAGAAGTGAAGGCAGCAACCTTTCTTTTTTGGTGTAAAGTATATTTGGTTGAAGTATTTGCAAGTGAGAGTTGGAAGATAAGTACACTCTCTCTCTTCTTATAGTTTCTTGCATTGTTATTTGGGATTTAATTTTTCATTATTATATAATTCAAATTCCCATCATCTGGTATCAGAGCAGGTTTAATGGCGAGGAAAATGGGGAGGTGGGCGTTTAGTGAGAGAAAGCGAGTGGGGTAAGCAAGGGACATGGACATTCTTCCAACCCCATTATGATTTGCGACTCACTCTCTCTTCTTCCTCTCCCTCTTCCTCTTCCTGTTCCTCTTTCTCTTCCTCTTCTTGCATTCCATACATCCTTCTTTAACCGCTTCTCTCTCTCTCTCTGGCTTCTCACTTTCTCTACTCTCAATACTCAATCACTTGCCCCCATGTATGGCTCTTTATTCCCTTTTTATAGAGGTTGTCATACCAATTAGAATGTTCTAGTGACCACCTACCCACATTTAATGGGTAGTCACTTTGGTTGACTTTATGCCCCTTTTAGAAACTTCTATATGCTTCTTTATTTATTCCTTCATGTTTCATCTAGAAAGCTCCATCTAAAAAACGCTACATGTTTTCTTAAACCTCTACTCACATCTAGAAGGTACTACTTTGTTAAGATTAATTTTCCAACATCTATATAAGATGTGCATTGGAAGAATGTCCCTGTTTCCCTACTGTTAATTGTCTAGTTCTAATAGAAGTATTGTATGTTAGAGGGCTCAAATTAGATTATGTGGAACATTGATGCAGGGAGAAAAGGTGGGCTGTTTTTGAACCTTAAACAAGTAAAATCAGCAATTAACGAGATATAACTTGGCTATGAATTAAGCCAAGAGAAGAACTTTTTTCTTTCATAAAATAAGGTTTATTATTATAACATTTCTACCAAATTATGACATTCAACCTTTTATAAGCCTATGCAGCCCTAATTTACCTTTAGATTTAAGTAAACATTTAAGACTCTAAAATACCCCTAAAACAATACTATAATTTCAAAAATACCCTTATAAATAATAATGCGTGAACAATAACTGTAAACAGTATTGTGAATAGTACTGAATAGTACTTGTGAATGGTAAATAAACATAAAAACCCTAGAATCCTTAAAAAAAAAAACCCTAGAAATAAACCCTAAAATTAAGACTACAGTATACATCCTTGAAATTGAATAGAAAATATGAAGAATTTTGCTCTCCATCTTTCTCCCCTGGTTGGAGAAAACTCCTCCTCGAGTTTTGAAGTGTGTTAAGATCACTTTCCCCATTGAAAATTGTGTGGGAAACTTTAAATTCAACTTTCTCCATATTTATTTCATTACTCTCTGCAACCAGGGTCACAACTTGTAGATTCTGTGTTGACCACACTTCCACTGCGCTACTTTGATTCCAATGCCCTAAATCTCGTAAACGTTCCACCTCTTTGATATCCTTATGATCTTCATCTTTTTCTTTGTCTAAGATCGGTGCGCCCATGAAATCTTGATCATCATAGATTGGATCTTTTACAAGATCTCGTTCATCATCTAAGTATGTATCAAAAATTGGTGGCAGATCCCAATCTGCAACCTGCTTATTTTCGATATGGCCTACACTAAAATTAACTTCATTCTCCTTCAAATAATATAGATCAACTAAATCCGATGATTTATTCTCCCGAACATGAGGCTTCCAACATGGAGCACATGCATAGAATAGGTGGTCGAAGACAACTTCATCATTCCGCTTCAACTCTGAGTCGGACTCTTATTCACGCCATTCTCCATAAAAACCCTCGCGATTTGGATCTATCCTTGTAGATTCCTCTTTGTTTAGGGCACATTATTGTTGGCCCTGCTTACGCAACAATAGCTTTGTAACCCTCTCTGTCAAGTTGTTGATTTTCTTGTGCAGTTGGATCAGATTGTCATCCCTATGGCAAGACCTCCATGACCAACCATCGCAATCTCTAGCTGTCCTCGAACCACGCTCTGATACTACTTGATACAGGGAGAAAAGGTGGGCTTTTCTTGAACGTCAAACAAGTAAAATCCACAATAATGGAGATATAACATGGTTGTAAATTAAGTCAAGAGAAGAACTTTCTTCGTGCATAAAATAATATTCATTCTCATATCGTATCTCCCAAAATATGACATCAACCTTTTATAAGCCCATGAAACCCTAATTTATCTTGAGATCTAAGTAAATATTTAACACTCTAAAATACCCCTAAAACAATATTATAATTTAAAAAATACCCTTGTGAACAATAACTCATGAACAGTAACTGTTAACAGTACTATAAATAGTATTTGTGAATACTAAATAAAAAATAAAAACCCCAGAACCCCTAAAAATAAAAAAAAACCAGGAAACGAAAATTATTGTATACATCCTTGAAATTGGATAAAAATAGAAAATAAGAAGAATTTTGCCCTCCATCAAACATAGGTATGAAGAGGATTCTTCATGAGTCTCGGATACATGAAAATGTTCTTTAGACCAGACTGGACTGGTTAGTCTGAATTGGAAACTGATGAATTGGTGGACAAGTGGGGTCCAGTGACTGGACTGGCCGGTCTATCGGGATAGAATTTAGCCGGTCGGTCCCAATCTAGAATGTAAAAAGGGAAAAAACCCTATTTTTTTTTTTTGGCTTTTTAAACTATTTTAATAGTTTTTTCTTCATTTTGAAAATAATAAAGGGGCATTTTGGTAAATAAAAGCATTAGGGTGGGGTTTAAGGTTTAAAAAAGACTTTTTTAGAAAGAGATAAATAGATAGATAATAAAGAGAGAGACTTTAGTGATTTTCTCTCTTTCTAACCAGAAAAAACCTTAGAATTCGGGTGAACATCGTGTAATACTTGAGTGTTCTCAATCCAAGGTTTTCATTCCCCAAGTAAGTCCATTTGATTTGTTCTTTGTTTTATTTGTTTTAATTTTTAAAAATGTAAGAAAAATTGAATAAAGTTTGAACTTTTAGGGCTTTACAAACAATGAGGTTCTCTTTTCTTTTCATTTTTTTTTTAATACTTGTGTTGAGGTGTTTCTTGCTTTCATTCTAAAGGTTTTTTTTGGCCTTAATAGTTACCTATTGTAGTTATTTGCCAATCTTTTGGATTTTTTGCATATTTGTTTTTTATATAAATGGTTGTTCTTCTAGTTTTGTATCTTCAATTACTTGACGGGCTTGGGTCAAGACGGTAGAGGCTTTGTTTTCATAGCCCA